TTAGTGCATAACTTGCTATATTAATGGGAAAACATCACTTGGGAAAAGTTCTTGTGTTAAAATTTCCTGAGCCTTAGTGCTAATCAATGAACTAAACTGATAAAACCATGTTGCATACTCATCGGGAGTGTGTAGGATCCTTAATCATGACTTAACGGGGCTCAAGAACCTTGCGTTGCGGAGCCAAACACTCACAATTGTCACGCATGGAACCTCTCTGAATCGCTTTCACTTTATCTCTATCTATGTCAAATCTCTCCCAAATCTCTCCCAAAAGTTCCTTGGACTTTTTATAGTCTTTCGGGCCATCCCGACCCTTAACCGGGTCAAAAACAGCTTAAAACGGGGTAAAAATGAGAAAAATGGACCTTAGGAACCGAAACCCTTCTCAAGGAGCCGAAGCCTCTTAGGGCCGAGCCCCTTGGACCGAAAGTAACCAGGACCGAAACCGAGCCTCTGTGGCCGAAACTAGAGAACCGAATTCCTGTAGTCGAGACCGAGCCTCGGTCTCTGCTCCTTCCGCCTCTCGGTCTCTGCTCCTTCCGCCTCTCGGTCTCTGCTCCTTCCACTCTCGGTCTTTCCCTTCTCCTCTCGGTCCTCTCTCTTCTCCTCTCGGTTCCTTGCCCTCTCTCGGTCTTCTTTCCTTCTCTCGGTTCCAACACCAGAGGACCGAACCTCCGGCCAGAAATTCAGATTTTTGACGCTTTTCACCCATTTTTGATATTTTTAACATTTTAAGCCCATTTTTCGAGATTTTAATGCGGGATTTTCACCCAAACTCATATTTTAACAAAATAAGCCCCAAATATTCATAATTTAATCATATTTTCATAAAAATCATTATTTAAATAAAAAAATCTAATGGGTGATTTATTTAAGGTGGAGTGTTGACCTTGCTTTATCTTATGTCACAAGCAACCACCCCCACACCCACTCTATGACCAGCCACACCTCCCCACCTTACCTAGGTCACTTTAATGTCCCTTACACTCAATTACCACCCATTCCCATGTTTTTAGAGCTGGAACAAAACATCCTCTCTCCTCACTTCTCTCATTTGCTCTCATTTCACCAAGGATCCAACTCCATTTTTCTCTCAACCTTTCTCTACCAAATTCGAGATTCAAGGTTGATTATCAAGTGTTCTTCCACTCTTGGTAAGTATAATTCATCCTCCTTGTGATTATTGCACTTCATTCTACTCAAATCATTGATTGCTTACACAAACTCCATAACTATGATGTTAGATTCTCGAAAATCTTCAAGGCATCTCCAAGTGTTCTTGAGTTAAACACTTCCATTCTTCAACAATCATCTACTGAAATCAATTAAGGTGAGTTCATACCCCTAAATGTTCATGTTTTCTCAAGTTTTTAGCGGGGGGGGGGGGGGGGGGGGAATACAAGTTAAAACACCAAGAACATAACTAAACTTTTCTAACAACCTTCATCAGAAAAGTTCAACTCCATTCACGGACTGTTTTGGGCAATTTAAACATTTTTTTTTCAAAAATATATAAGGTGCAAATATTTCAAGTTCTTAGCTTGAAAATGACTACTTGCACATCTCCATACGATTTTTCTACAATTTATGGTGATTTTTACAAAACGGCCTATCATTTCAAACACCAATCCGGACCAATCTGTGATTATGGAATTTTTCACCCAAGTTGGAGGTCATTAAAAATCATGATAAAAAATATGAGTAAACTAGACACATTTTGGGAACTCTCAGAATTTACGGATTCAGTTTTCGACTTCGTATGATTTTTCTCTAACTTTTCTAAAACAGCGCAGAAAGGTTAAAGTTAGTTAACAGCATATAAATTTCATAACACTTTGTATTATGTTGAGCAAAGTGAATAACAATAAGTTCTAAATATTGAATGTGTTTCCTTGTTAGTTTTTCATCATAAACTGAAACTTAGTCATTCATGATAAGCTTATTTATCCATTTAGAACACGAATATTAAGCTATAATAAGCATAGTTTAATGGATTCATAACACTAACGCATTTTCATAAAAGAATTCTTATATATTACAAATGTTTTGGATAAACTATAATAGGTATAGTTTATGATACATCACATAATACACTCGTACAAAAAGGGTACTTTCATACAGAAAGGTTTTACACTCACGCACACTACACGTAAACTTGTTAACCTAAATTGTGAGACACTCTCTTCCCGTACGTCCGAGTGCGGGATATAATTCCTGGTAGTTATAATCAGAGTCTCCTGGAGGGAGAACATGATAGTTGTGTATAGATCTATATTGGGTTTGACACCTCACACCTTGCTGCTAGCTACAGTGGGACCTGCAGGTCTACGGGTGATAAATGTCATTACAGTTTCGCGACGTCTGAGAAACGTCGTGGCAGGTTCATTCAGTCATAGTATGATTATAACGACTCACATAGGGAGATAACAATACATAAAGTTTACGGGATTCTTATAAAACCTAAATAGGTTTTATGTTGATTTAAATTCACTTTTTATATCAATTTAAACTCATAGCATTTCTACTAAGTAAGAAAGGTTACTTATACATTTTGGCCTTGGTGATAAGGCTACATTACACAGATTTTAAGGAAAATATCGGATTTTTCTGAAACAAACGTGAAATTTACATGAGAAAGACTTCTATTAGGTTTTATAGCAAAAAATTATGAACTCACCAACCTTTGTGTTGACACTTTTTCAAACAACTTGTATTCTCAGGGAATCACTAAACAGGTAACCAAGTGCTTTTGAGGATGGGACGTTAAGGCGTCAAACCTTTCATATTTTGTCAACACATTGTAATTGATTTTGAAACATGTAATTCATACAACTGATGTAACTTTTTCAATTATATATATGTTGGTTGTATTTGCTTAAATTACTATTGAAATTGTGGTTATGATACTATACATGAAGTCCTCCACCCCCAGACGTTTCCGCCATCCTTGGTTTGGGGGTGTGACAATATACCCATATCTGCTAAATTCATCGGTGAAAGTCAGATAGAAGCAGTTCACATCCTTTGTGGTAGATCTAAAGGGCCCACACACATCGGTGTGTATGAGATCCAATAAACCCTTACCCCTTTCACAAGTGCTAGTGAAGGGTGACTTGATCATCTTTCCAAGTAAACAAGACTCGCACACGTCATCATCCCTAAGGTCAAATGACTCCAATATTCCATCCTTTTGGAGTTGGGCTATGCGTTTCTTATTGACATGTCCAAGCCAATGCGACAACCATGCTTTATCCATACTATTGGAAGAATCAACACACAAAACATCATTTCCTAAGTTATCTACAACCATCACAGTTTCATATATTCCATTACAAGGCAATGCTTCAAAATATAAAACATTATTAAGATAAGCATAAATAAGACCCTTTTCATTATCAAATGAATATCTAAAACCTTGTATATATAAACCATGAAATAAAATGATGTTTCTTGCCATATTTGGCGAATAGCAACAATTGTTTAAATCTAAACCTAATCCATTACTAAGCATCAAGGAATAAACTCCGATCTTGGTGACAGGCGACGATCTTCTGTTCCCCATGATTATATTTATCCTTCCATGCTCCACATCCCTATATCTTCTTAGTCCCTGCAAATCAGAACATATGTGAAAACCACATCCTGTATCAAGAACTCAAGAAATAACATGTGATGAATCATTAGATTTAATTGTGTAAATACATGTGAAAGATGGTTTGATCTTCCCATCCTTGATGGCTTGCAGATATTCTGAAGATCTACCCAAAAAGATTAATTTCATGGATGAAATCAAAGGGTGATACAAGATCAAGAAGGATAACAACTAATAAAATGGAAGGATTGCTTACATTTTAGAAGATCTAGGTGAAAACTTGATGATTGTTGAGAGAAAATATTAGTTCTTGAGTTGATAGCGGGAAAAAGTGGTGAAGAATGAAGGAATATCATATTTAAGGGACGAGTTCACAGCCAAGGAGGTGTTTACAGTATAAAGAAAATATTTTTTTTTATCCTTCATTAACGATATAAAGAAAATGAATAATTCATTTTTTAGTAATAGTCGATCTGAATCCCAAAAATTTAGGAAAATATCATTTTATTTTATTTTTTATAAAATACAAATTTACCTATATGCCCTTATATATTGACTAATCCATAACTGTTTTTAAGATCTCAACCTTTTTTGTGTTCTCAATTGATCATTCTTCTCTCTCTCTTTCTCTCTCTTTCTCTCTCTCTCTCTCTCTCTCTCTCTCTATATATATATATATATATATATATATATATATATATATATCATTCCTTATGATTTGTTTTGATACTTAATATTGAAAAATAATAGTTTCATTAACTAAAAAATTTCCAACTAATTACAAGAATTATATTTATTTGTCAAGAATCAATTATTTATAAATAATATATTTGCATCAAGATGTTGTTAGTGTGACCATTTAAATTCATATATTATCTAGCAATATCATTTTATAATGACTTTTAGACATATGACTCTTTTTAGAATATCCTTTATTTGGACTTGATCCCCTATTTTTTGAGTTCCTCGACTACAACATTAGCCTTTTAGGGGGTTCAACAACTTCTTTTATCCCAACTCTACTTAGGTTTGGAGACACAAAGTACATGTACAACATAGTTTTACCATGCTTAATTTAAACATCAATCAATTTGTGATTAGGCACAAATGTACTCAAGTGATTAATGTCACTATCACTAGCCAAAAGCATATAAACCAACGTCTAAACTTGATCAAGCGACTCCATTATTTCATCGATGTTGCGAACACATAATATAAAAAATATTTAGTAGATCAATATATTTGACTTTTCCCTTGATGTATTTTCTGCTAGAACTATAGTGCAACTTGATGGCGAACACAGTTGGATAACCGCACGTGGAGACTTTTTTTTTTGTGCTTTACTCTTACATTTGCATTCTAAAATGAATGTAATGAACAAAACAAACAACTTACCGTATGCTTAATGAAGGTCGATTTCATCAATAGGTGCTATAATCTTCCATCTAAACATCGTCACCTTCTTAAAGACTTGATCGAGGTAGGTGGATGCATAAGGTTTAGGGTTTTCCAAAAGAATGTGATCGATATTGGATAAGGTTTTTGATGTGAGGAAGAAGATGATTGAAATAAGAATAGAATCTGCCATATTTGAAAGGACAAAAATACATCTGACATGCTAGTCAAGTGTGGCAATTAACGGAGACAACTACCGGCAAATTAGGGACCAAACGTGTGTTAAAACCAAATGTCAAGGATGCCCAGAGTGCAAAACAAAAATTAGGGACCAAACGTTAAGTTTTTGCAAACCAGAAGGACCATTTCAGTAATTTATTCTAAATAATAATTTAAAAAAAAAAACTTTAATCTTATAAAATGAAATAGAACCGCGACCAGCATGATACTGATTTTTACCAGGAAAAAAGGGGGAAGAGTTGAGGACATGTTCTGTGGCCTTGAGTACTCCATCTCTTCGTAAACTAATCGTTCGAAAATTTCTAGATCCGCATCAAAGGTACACTCATTCTCGATTTCTAACTCATGTTTTTCTCAGATTCTCGGATTTTACATTATTGTTTATCAATGTTTCCTATTGCTAGATCTAGTTTCATTAAAACCACGATCGGATTAGGTTTGTTAATCAAATCAACATTGCAATGTGGATCATCCGTCGAAAGACTCCTCTTATTATCCTTCACGATGAACATGAAATTTCTGTAAACGTTGAAATCGTTGCAATTATTGATCCCAATGTCATTTGCTTTAATTAACCACATAACACTTCGATATACAACAAATCCACCAAAATCAACGGATATTATAGATCCGTTTTGCAATAAATGCAACAAATTTATTCCCGGGTGTACAAAAATACGCAAATCTGATCAAAGTTTCAAACTTGAAACTTTCAATCCGCGATTACTATCTTCTGTAGCGATATTCAATATTCTTACAAAAAGATTGATAAAAACGAGATCTAATACATCAAACATATACCAAAATGTGCAGATCTATTCATGGAGTCGGAAACAGAGCCTAAGCATATGATGATTGAGCATGATGTTTCAAATAGCATGCAGATTGATCCAACAAAAGCTCGATTTCCTTGTTGTATAGTGTGGACTCCTCTTCCAGTTGTTTCATGGCTCCTCCCTTTTGTTGGTCATGTTGGAATTGGGCGTGAAGATGGAGTGATTGTGGACTTTGCGGGACCTAATTTTGTGTCAGTTGATAACTTCACATTTGGGGGTGTATCTCGCTATATCCAAATAACCAAAGAAAAGGTAAATAAAATACACACATTTTTTTAGTCTCTAATTCTCTATCTATAATAAGAAAAGTATATAATAGAAAGAAATGAAAGTAAGATGCTATAATTTATGAATACATAAAAGTACATTGCTATTTCTTGCATTTAAACAGAGTCCAATCCCAATCACTCGGCATCCTTCCACCACATATAGAACCGAAGAAGAATTTAAGCTTGTAGAATCAGGAAGAAACCAATACACATGGGATGAATCCTTGAAAAAAACAACACAAGAATACCAAAAGCAAATTTATAGCATTTTAACGTGTAATTGTCACTCATTTGTGGCTAATCATCTTAACCGAATGGAACCCGGGCCCACGTCCGGTTGGAATGTGGTGAATGTGGCGGCTTTGGTTTTGTTGAAGGGTAAATGGGTAAATACACAATCGATGATAAGATCTTATTTGTCGTTTATGGTTATGTTCTTCTTGGGTGTTACATTTGGAGGTGCGAATTTTCTAACGTTTTTGGCGTTTGTTGTGTTTGTTTTGTTTGGGTGGTATGTTTGTGGTACGTATTATTTTAAGAACTTTATACAACTTTAGGAGGTTTGTTGTTGAGGAAATATTGATTACAAGAGATACTATTTTGTTGTGTTTATAGGTCTTTTTTTTTTTTTTTAAATGTTTTGTGAAATGATTGTTGTTTGTATAAGAAGTTGGTGTGTTGAAACTTTTCATCTAGTGTTTGGTGTGTTGTAATTTGAGAAGAAATGAAATAGTTTGTTTATTGGAATGAAAAGGAAATATATTTGTTTTGTATGATGAAACAAATTGTGTACCACTTATGGACAAATTTAGAAGTCCTTGCATTTTTTTTGTTTTTTTTAGGGTTTTACGTAGAAAAGTATTATTATTTTAAGAAATTTTTTGATAAAGTTCTAAATATTTCTTTTTAAAGAGACTAGTCTTATTATTTTAGGAAAATTACATAATCTTTCATTTCGTGTTAAAAAATCATTAATTTGGGCAAAATGTTAGATAATCAAGATTTTTCTGTTAAAAAAACATTTAAAACTTTATTAAAAAAAATTCCAAAATAATAAGATTTTTCTACATTTTTTTTATAAAGGTTATTACGAGATTTTCTTTGCAGAAAAACTAATAATTTTGATATTTTTTTAATTTGTGGCCCAACGACTATGTAAATATAGGCTCATGTGTACCATTTGTATCGTGTATGTATTGTATTCGACTCATGGTCTTATCTCGATTGTAGTGTCAAACCCGGATCAATAGACCCGGACCTGAAAAACCCGGAAACTAGTTAATGAGATTTTGTAGGATAGAAAACCGGACTAACATAGAGTAGGGATGAGTATATGGACCGGGGAACCGGCCGGAACCGGTACCGGAACCGGCACCGGAACCTGATGGAACCGGTCGGGCCGGGACCGGGACGTTATTTTTGTGGATTTTTTGAACCGGAAACCGGTAGGAACCGAAACCGATATAACCAAAACCGGCAAAAACCGGTAGAACGGCAAAAACCGAAACCGTATGATGCTATTTTTCGAAGATCGGTTCCAACATTTGAAGACACGACAAGAACCGGTAGGAACTGGGAACCGGTAGAACCGTCGGGCCGGTTCGGTTCTTGATTTTGGCCAAAGCCGGTTCCCGGTTCCGGCCGGTTCGGTCCTTTTGCTCATCCCTAATATAGAGGAACCGACTTCGGTTCGGTTCCGGATAAGGTGCCATAAAGTGGACCTAGAACTGGAAACCTGGAAATATTAAAGTGGGTCGGGTGGAATCAGGTAAAATGGGTCTAGAATCGGAAAATCCGAGAAATGCGTAATTTTTTGGTAATTACTTAATGGTTGAACTTTGAAACTTTTCAATTTTGATATCCCAACTTCGGGAGATTGTAAGTCATTGAATATTAAACCAAAATTAATAAAATTATAGTCTAAAATCATGTACAAACTCTAAATTATATATTGCAAAAAGAATTCATGATAATCTAACTGCAAACGAATTAGATATGTATTTTAAAAATTTCACAAAATATAAAAATAAAATCGAAAAACAGAAAATTCACAACATTGATATCCGGACTTTGGGAGACTATAAATCAATGAATATGAAACAAAAAATGACAAAATTTTAGTCTAAAATCATGTACAAATTTTAAACTACATGTTGCAAAAAAAACTCGTGATAATCCAACTTCAAACGAATCAAATATGTATTTTTAAAATTTCACAAAATATAAAAATAAAACTGAAAAACAGAAAATTCACAGTTTTGATAGTTTTAGATCATGTACAAACTCTATACTACATTTAGGAAAAAAACCGCATGCTATTCCGACTTCAAACAAATTAGATATGCATGTTTTAAAACATTCACATAATACAAAAAAAAAAAATCTAAAAAGCATAAAATGTCCAGCTTTGATATCCCAACTTTGAGGGACTGTAAATTGATAAATATTAACTAAAAAGTGAAAAAATTAGTTTAAAATTATGTACAAACTATAAAATACACGTTAGAAAAAACATCATACCAATCGACTTCAAAAAAATAAGATATACATATTTTATACTTTACATAGAAACCGGTTCCGGCCCCTAAAACCAGTTCCAGTTCTTAAACCCGGTTTACCCGGACCCGAAACCTGGATTACTCAGAACCCGGATAAAGTTATTCTTTAAACCCGGGACCCGGACCGATTTTAAATATTCCGGTTCTAACGATTTCAATTCCAGTTCTGATCCAGTTTTCTGGTTCTAAATCTCATCCCTAATCCTTACAGCATCCACCATGACTCTCACTCAGATAATTGCATCCTTAAGCTGAGAATTTTCAGTGGTTAACCTCGGTGCCCTCAATTATTTTCTCGGTGTCTTAAGTCACTTGCTCTTCTAAAGGCACATTCCTTTCACAAAAGAAATATGCTAGTGAGATACTTGATCTAGAAAAATATGCTCACTCACAAAGTTATGTCACATAGGATTGTTTTGGAGTGGGGAGTGGACCTTCTTAGACTAAATTCTTTTTTTGATAGGATTGGATTCTGTCTTGTAACATTTGTAAACTATTAAACCGATTTTAGTAGTTAAAAAGAAAAAGAAAACTTAAAGAAAAGGCAAATTATTAGCGGGTTGTGAAAAGAAAAAAATGACTTACATAGTTTATGAAATAAAGTACGGAAAACGTTAGGTTTTTTCGAAATTTGCCATATATTTATTTATTTATGGTGTTTAACAAAATGGAGATGTACTCCAATCAACCCACCTAACTTTTACATCAGCATTTCTATATTTGAACCACGCGTATGTTTGAGAGACCACCTCATCTGCAATTTTTTGCAGGATTTGTATTAATCTGTTTGAAAACCTTATTGTTTCTTGTCACCCATACGAACCATAACATTCCATAAATTACTGTATTTATCCTTTCCATTTTGCGTTTACAAGTTTCCCAACCTGTCACAAATCTGATGAAATCTGTCACGGGATTAAACGTGGTGACAGATATGTCACACCATTTGAAGATCCATGACCTAGCCTCCATAGCAAATTCACACCTAATCAATAAGTGATCACAAGTCTCTTTCTCTTTATTACATATAGGGCATATATCCGTTTCGACTTTTATACCCCTTACATCCAAGTTTGTAGCCACCGGTATTCTACTCATCAAGACTCTCCCTATAAAGCATCTTATTTTCAGTGGGACAACCTTTGACCAATTGATTTGCACATCAGAGTCCGATTTAGGGGCTTTTGATTCTAGCAACTTCTTTAAGGTACTCACCGTGTATTTGCCATCCGAATTCCTGTTGAAACGAAAACCATTAGCAACGAGAGTCATATTGACATCACAAAGTAAAGAGCATAAGCTCTGAAAATCATTTGCAACCTCATCAACCATATGTTGTGTCTTCCATTTCCATGTAAAGCCTCTGGTGGTGATTCTATCTGTAATTGAACAAAGCTTTACTTTTTCCAAAGCATAAAGGCGAGGAAAACGTTCTTGGAGTGTAAGAGGTACACACCATCTATCCTTCCAAAACAAGAAGCATGTGTTTGAACCGGGGGTTATAGAAAATATGTCGTGGTGGCTGACATCATATTCAAACAGGGATCTGATTGCTTTTGCATTATTGCACCAAGTTCCATTTGCGATACTTGTGACTCTTTTTTTTTTTTTTTTTTTTTTTTAAAATTGTGTATGCAATTTATGCATGTCTTCCATAAGCTATCAGGCCTGTTTTTAAGTTTCCACCACCATTTCGTCAAGAATGCCAAATTTTGTGTCTTTAATGTGCCAACACCCAGACCCCCATCAGTTTTTGCTGCCACCACTCTTGACCAAAACACCCAATGTATAGCTGATTTGGTATCGTCACCTCCCCATAGAAATCTTCTTCTTAATTTTTCGAGATCGTCAATGATACCTGCAGGTGCCTTAGAAAGTGAGAAATAATATGTGGGGAGGTTGTTGAGAACAGATTTGATTAAGGTGAGATGTCCTCCGAATGACAAACTCTTCGCTTTCCACATCGATATTTTGGCTTTCTGTTGAAGATCTAATTTCGCAAGTCTCTCCGAATGACAAACTCTTCGCTTTCCACATCGATATTTTGGCTTTCTGTTGAAGATCTAATTTCGCAAGTCTCTCCAATTAAAGAAACGAAAGGGTGGTGGCCCAAAATCTTGATTGGACGGCTTCAAGACTATTGGGGTGTGATCCGAGTAATCGCGTGGTAATACTATAACTGTGGTGAGAGGCTGATGTGTAATGAACTTTGAGCATTGCTACTCTTGTCTAAAATTAACTACATAATATATTCTAATTATCTTATTTTAATAATAATGAGTTTTTATAATGATTACTTCTCTATTCTTTATGCAAATAAATAAATAATTTCAACTAAACAATATAAAATGTATAGAGCCTTAAACAATCATATAAAAATCATTTCATCAATGCAATAGCTTCAAACTTCGAATATAAATGAAGAAAAAAATTAAAATCAGAATGTATTTCTCATTAGAAACTGCACACAATTAACATAAAATGTTGAGTAATAGGATCCATTCCTAAACCCGAACCTAATTCCAATCCCCCCCTCTTAAAATCTTAAATAACAATAATAATCATACAATAATCAAACTCCAAATAAATCACACCAAATCAACACCAACATCCGGTTCCACTTTCCGGGTCAAAAAACACCAGAAAACACCACCAGCACTTGGATCGACCCATCACGAGGCTCACAATTTGGTAAAACCCCTGGGATCTTCTCTCACTAATATACACCCTAATATTCCTTCTAATAATTTAATTAAAAACTACCCTAAATATCCCAAACTCTTCAATTTGTATTTTCCTTTCCATTTAAATTTTTAACCCCTTGAATTCGGAGCACAAACCGCTTCAACTGTCAACCGTTTCAATTTATTCGGACACGGGTCTTCCCCAAAGTTGCTATTTGCTATCGTCACTGCACATTGCTCTTTCCCAATACACTTCTGCAAAAAAACAAATCCAAAATCATTTATAACATCAAACGCGCATGTACAACTATTTATGCATAAGGTACAAGTATATTACCTTTTCAATTACATCATACGATGCAGGGGCATGACAAGTGCCTTGTTGGAAAGTGCCACATGTCCCCATTGGAGTTCCAAAGCTTGCGAATTTAATGGCGGATATGGTTAGCCCGGGCCCACAATGGAGATGAACTTTTGGTCTATGAAGCTCTTGTGTTTTTCCATAGCTTTCGATATGCCAATCTTTAATATTCGGGTGATATTCAAACATATCACCACATATGGTGGTTGTTGACCGTTTGACTAGTGAAATACGGGTCGGGTCGCCCCCAAGTTCTTCAAATAGCACCAATGAATTGTCCGTTGGTTTTAACCACGATCTAGGCACATGGTACCTGTAGTTAATGGAAACCCACAACTTAATAAAACGGGGCCCCACATTACTTAAAACGGATCCACAATTTACAATTACAATATTTTTTTACCATCGTTGAGTTGGTTGACCGCATCCGAGTTGACATTTTGGAGGGCGGTATGTTCCGGCGTAGTGGCACCCGTGGCAATCCCCTGTGGCGTACGCGGTCCAATATCTGCCGATGCTTTGACCGTTGATCCATACTTGACCTTTTCCCATACTGCTCATGTCTAAAGCCAATGGCTCGTCTCCCGTAGGCGCTTTAAAAGAAGCCTAAAAATAATTTTAAAAAAAAAAATTAAACATTCGTAACGCATCACGAAATGCCATGTGTCTTGTTTTTTATTCTACCTTGTGCCACGTCAGCGGTTGTTGTTTTTGAGCGATAAGAGAACCTTGCATCCATTCAACGGATGAAAAACTGTTTGTTGAAATGACATCCATGGCCTCTCCCTTTAAACCAACCTGTTAAAGCAATGAAAAATCGGTTACACTTTATCTGAAAAGTAGTAACACTGACAGTGACAGTGATTGTGACAGTATCGAGTATCTGACCTGGTAGGTCCATTTTGCCCATGAGAGATCTTGTTTCCCTTGGTCAAGACCGTAGAGTGCGACCGGACCCATGACGCCGGTTTCCCATGTTTCGTAATGTCCTCCGATATTCTTCGAGTTGAAAAGTCAACGTTAGAGTCAAACAAAGGGTAAAATGGGAATTTAACAAAGATTAGAAACCAACCGGTAATCCCATTGCGACACTGAGTAGTGATATTTTGTTGTTTCCGGGGCGGAGATTGACGTTTTCTTTGTAAGTAATTCTTCTATTTTCACGTGTTCCAAAAGCCGAACCTATATATACATTCAACTTCTTTCATTATTCTTATAAAAAAAAATAACATTAATAATAATAATTAATAAATAATCTCACAAGCATACCTGAAAGTTCTCCGTTGATAAAAACATGAAGAGCATGACCCGTTGACTGTACCAAAAGCTTCGGGTGGTCCCCGCCTCGCAAAAACGATTCGGAAGAACCGACTTCAACACTGCAAAACAAAAACATGTTCGTTGAGACTCATTAACTGGTTCCAAGCAGGACAACCTTGTACTGTGTTTGGCATGCATTGGACTGGGATTGAGACTGATGTCAACAGGACAAAAATTACAATTCTTTGTCTCATCCCAAAATGTGGAATAGTGATCCGCTCTCGATCTCTCGTCTGTGAGAAAAGACATTAACGCCCTCCTTATCCTCTTTTAAGAATAACCCTAGAAAACTTTCTAGGGTTACTTTAGATGATGATGAGGAGGAGGGCGTTAACGTCTTTTTTCTCACAGACGAGAGATCGAGAGCGGGTCACTATCCCACATTTTTGGATGAGAAAAAGAATTGCAATTTTTGTCCTGTTGACATCAGTCTCAGTCTCAGTCCCAGTTCAATGCATGTTAAACTCAGAACAAGGTTGTGATGTGTAACAATCGGGGATCTTATTCTTAAGAGTTGATGAATGAAACATACTTTGTTGTATACCAAAGATAATCACTAGTATCTCTAGTAACATTAATTTGCTCCAATAAACCAGAAGTAGTAAAAGTCGAGCTCTCATCCGCCATTGTTAAATCTTCATTATACGTCTCCCATGAAAACAACTCCGAATTTGTTGGTAACATTTCCATTTGTGTTGATTGAACTCCAACCTATACACATTTTTACAACAATTAAAACACAAAATCACAAAATAAAAAAAAAAAGTAACAAAATTACTTACTTTAGCAGTGTTAAACACAACATTCTTGCAATCAGGAAGGATACTGATAGACCATGGAGGCAAATTATAATGCATATTGTTGAACATCACTTTTTCTGCATTGTTTGGATTATAATTCGCAAGAAAAGCTGCACAATGTCCCGATTTTGATGAAAATACATGCGCCTGTAAATAAAAGTACATTTTTATTTCTTGATTAAATTTGAAATCCGATATAAAGATTAGTTATATTATTACCTGTTGAAGGCTACCCAAAGAAGTAACTGTAGGATCTGAAGAAACTAATGCAGGCTCACATTGTTTAATAGCTTTGTGAAGCTCTTTTAAATGCCCATATTTCGGTTGTCTGATTATACCTATAATAGAAATACAAAAAAGGTTTAAATGAAATAAATAGTAATGTATTTTTGTTGATAAGTTTGACCCTAAAAGTCAAAGTATACGATCTTTGATTCTAACTTGCAATTTTAAAACCGAAATCAAAAGTATATGATACATAAAAGAAAGTCGGTCTGGAATCAAACAACATATCCATCGATTTTGACTTTGAAAAACAATAGGTTTGACCTCAAAAAGTCAAAAGTATATGATCATAATTCATAAAAACTCACCATATTCATCAAGTGGAGCATCGTAATCATAACTAGTAGTGATAAAAGGGCCTCCAGCAGATCGACCGAAATTCGTTCCTCCATGATACTGTTTATAAACGATAAAGAATTTTAATTTTAGTTATCGCTAAATGTTACGTTTATTCAACACAAAATTTCACTTCGTTCCCAATTTACGCCACAAATTGTGGTTTTTATATCAATTTTAGGATCAATCGATACAATATTGTTGCATAAATTGGTGAAAAAAATAAAACATTGTTGTATAAATTGGTAAAAATAAATAAATAAATAAATAAAAAGATACAAACCATGTAGTAGTTAAAGAAAGATCCACCCTTTTGAATGAATCGAGCAACACCAAACGCTAAATCTTGAACGGGCCTCTCGTGGATGGGCCCACCAAATTCTGTGAACCATCCGCTCCAAGTTTCGGTCCAAATTGTTGGTTTGTATGGTTTGTTAGGGGTAAAAGCGTCACAATAAAAACCATTGCATGTGTTTATCTGTCATTAAAATCCAAAAAATAATGCGTAAAATGATTATATTGGTCGATGTAGAAAGGGAAACTCAAGAAAATATGCTTGAAAGTTGAAAACAACCCGTTTTGGATAACAACTAATCTTTGGTTTTGTGACGAAAATGCCCCTTGTTTACTTTGGAAGTGAGATTTGTGTTTTTATGCCCTAAATTTAAAAGGGGCGAATTCAAGAAAATGTGCTTGAAAGCAACCCTTCTTGAATACCAACTAAACCTTGATATTGTGACAAAAATACCCCCCTCTACTTTGGAGGTGAGTTTGTGTTTTTATGCCCTCAAAAAGTATTCATAAAATGATTATATTGATAATTTAAAAAGGGAAAATGCTTGAAAACAACTCTTCTTGAATATCTTTGATTTTGTGACGAAAATGACCCTTATTCACTTTGAAAATGAGATTTATGTTTTTATGCCTCAAAACACCCTTTGTATCAAAAACTAAGTTCCATAATGTCGTCCTTTAAAAATATGTCTATTTTTAATTTTGTTCCCAAAATGCCCCTAATTAAAACTCCCACCCACTTCTGTAAATGCTAATACAACGACTGTCATTAAGTTAAATATATTTATTTCAGGTTATTTCCCATTATTAGCAACTGACAAAGAAAAAAAAGATTCCTATTTGACCAATTCTATTCTAATCTCATTAATTAAATGTATAAAATAATTAACATAAAGATTATCACTTGTCAGGAAAAAATGTTAAAAATTAACCTTTTGACCAAAAAGTAAATAAACAAAAAAAGGTAGACATAAGAAACAACAACATAACATACGTTCATTTATTTATCTATAGCATTACCATTTCAATTTTTTTTCTTAATTACGATATTATATTTTAAAAAATCTATCCAATTATCCCTAAAATTACTTATTGGTATAAATATAATCTGGTAGATTTTTTAAATATATAGGAAGAAATGAAACCGAAGAAAGGATGAATGAGATATATATTAAACGAATATGAATATGGATCCGGGTCGGGTCAGGTCGGGTCATAAAATTGCTTACAACTGGATCCGGAGCATCATCTTGCTTGCACATGACCCATGGGACACCTGTCCCCAATCCAACGGCCAGATTTGCAGCCCAAGTCATGTAATTATGTCCAGCGCTTCCAAGTGCCTTTCCTATCGACCCGTATTCATTCTCAATCTGCAAAAAAAAAACCCATATTTAATCACGTATTTACACCTTTGCCATTATTGAAGATTCCATGGAAATGTACAACTTCGGAAGCACAAGTTACAAGTCAGTACAACATACCTGAGAGAGGATAATTGGACCTCCTTCGGTTTCGAACAACTTTTCACTCTTCATCATGTTCACAATTTTCTCAGTGAAACCCTTCATAGCCCTCTGTAAATATTAAAAAAAGAAAAAATTATAATTTTTAAAATATATACAAAATTAAAAAAAAAAATTAGAAAAAGAAAATATAAAGACAATTGTGACCTTGAATGGCTCGTTATCGGTTCTAAAGCTAATACCAGGAACATACTTCAGCCAAACTGGTAACCCTCTGTAAGATTCAACACAAAAATGAACATTTTAGTAATTTCACATAATATTATTTGTTAAATGAAAAAAAGAATTATAGATCTGAGAAGAGAAAATATGTAAAATATTAAAATAAATACCCAAAATTCCATTCAGCGCAAACATAAGGTCCAATTCGAAGATGAGCATAAAGTCCGGCTTTTTGCACAGTTTTTAAGAATCTCACCAAATCGTATCTCCCTTCAAAATTATACTGAATTTTCCACAAACAAAATTATATAATTAGCATGCATAAATCAGTAGAAAAAACTTATAGATCTAATAATAGTTTAATAAAGAGCAAAAAAAGGGAAAAACCCCATTTTGTAGTATAAAAAACTAAGCTTGATACGTTGAAATCGAGAAAAAAGTCAAAAACTGTTGAAGAGTAGAGCGAAAATATAGTAAAATTCGCACTAAAAATCACTCAATAAACCCTAAAAAGCAAACGAAAATAGTACATTGCCAGGAGTAGGCTCATGAACATTCCAAAACACATAAGTTTCAATCACATCAAGTCCTCCTTCTTTCGCCTTCATTATAAGATCTTCCCACATCTGCAACACAAAAAAGGTACAAAAACCCCATGAATTCAAACCTCATATAAGGTTAAACCCAAATTTCGCCTGAAAAAACGATAGATAGCTTCGTTAAGTACCTCAGGAGTACTTCGAGGATAATGTATCGAACCAGAGATGAGTATTCTTCTTTGACCATTGATGACGATGGCTTTACTATCGTAAGTGACACTACATTGAATTCCTTGAGCACCCAGTTGGATTACAACGAAGAACAACAAAACCCATTTGGAAACCGAGTTGGTTTCCATGATTTTGGGTCTAAGTTGAAGAAAATTAGCAGAATTGGAACTCGATAAAAATGGAGAGAGAGAGAGAGAGAGAGAGAGAGAGAGAGAGTGGAATGGAATGGGTTGAGGGGAGCTGAAAAGGGGGTAATATTGTTTCGACAGATCACCTTTCACACCGACAAATGTGGTGTGTATGAGTGTGTCTTTTTATTAAATTTGCACACAGGTGTGTGTGTGTGTTTTGTGTTGTTATGTGTGTGAATCAATGTGCCTTTGGTTAATATTTTAGATCTTTGATTTTTGATTCGTGTCTAATAAAATAAGATTTTTTTCGTTGTGTGTTGGATAGTGGCGTAAGACAATTGTCATTGTATTACTTCGATTTTGCTTTTAGATAAATCTTTTTATTTGTGAAATATCATAAGGTTGAGTTTTAATATTTTTAATATAACTATATATATGATTAGCCTAAGATTGAAGGATGTATCCATCATTTATTTTTAGTGGCACCTTGGTTTTTCATTCTTTCGAATTTCACCGCTAAAAAGGAGGAAATAGTCATCTTTTAATATCTTTTATTTTTATTTTTTTAAATAAAAATATTTCAATCTTTATAATTCAAAAAATAAACATAATTTCTTAAAAATGAATATTAAACATAAATTTTAATTAAAATAGAAATATTTCATTACTTAAAAGAAAATTTACATAAAAAACTAATAACCTCATTTAAAAAATGAAACGATCCAGGGGGAATATTATTTCATGATCTTTTACTTTTTCTTCAAAACTAGCTTGAGGGGCGATGCCGAAAAATAATCGGTGTTTTCCATCAAAACTTCATATCGTCCATTTTTTGTCTTTCCGCGCATTCAATCTTTTTCGGTTTCTTTTTCTTTGTCGAATGTTAAACGTTCAACAAATTTCATATTGTATCGACTAAGGTGTTGTTTGTTTTTTCTAAAAAACCTCTTCTAACCTCTTATTGTTGCGCCGCGCAGCACACACACAACACTTGGTCCTTTGCAGCTGTTTGTTTTTCAGAAAACTTCTGATTTAAAAACTGTTGTGTGTGTGCTGCGTGGCGCAGCACTAAACCAACTGCTTCAAACCTCTTCACGTCTTACTTTAAATTATTGCAGTAGTCTGCAGACGTTAAAAAACAAACAATTTTTTTTTTTAAATGTTGCAGCCGTTTGTTCCACCTCTTCTGCTACAGAAGGTTGCAGAGGTGGTCCGCAGACTTCAGACATTTTTACTTCGAAAAAACAAACAACACCTAAATGTTGTCATCATTTTCCGTATTTAATCTACATCCATGTTAAAATCCGATGCATTGGAAGAAGACCCATTCCACTTCTTTTTTGTTTTGTCACTACCCATCGGTCGGACAATTTCTTCTAGCTCGTCTTCGACGTCCTCGTTTAAATCTAGTTTGACAAGAGCATCAAAAGAAGTTATGTATCCACTAGAGCCAATTTTTGTTCTTTTTTATTGTGTTCCTCCTAGTATGAAGTTAGCTTCATATTTTTTCCACCTTGGATTACGAAATAAAAATTTTCAAGGCTCGTTAAACTTGAATGTCTTTTTCGTTTCCTCACGAAAAAAAAAAAATACAAAGCCACTTGAAGAATTTATTTATCGATTGACCGCTTCTCCTTTGAGTTTTAGATTGTTGTACAACCCGCTCATTTTTAAAATACTTTTCGCTAGTTCTCGAAACTTTGAATTAAATTGGTTTTTGGTACGGTACTCATCTTCTCTACCCAACTCCATAGGAAATGTTTCAAGAATGAGAAGCCAAAAATGTTCACGCGCTTGTGCATTTCCCTGCGTTGAATTCTCTGAAATTTGGCTCTTCTTATGGAGTCCTTGCTTGAGGCTTTTGCTTTTTGCCGTCTCTTGCACTTGTTGTTTTCCTTTACAGCATGGTGGGGGTACGGGGTTGAGTTTCCCGTATAATTTTATCGTCCGACTCATCGAGACTTTGGTTTTGTGGTTGAGAGTGAAAGGGTGGGGTTTGACTTTGTGTTTAAGATTGATAGAGTGAGGTTTGGCTTTGGGGTTGATTTGGTGAAAGTTGATCCGGAAAAACAACAAAGTTGTTAAACATATTTTGACTAACATTTGGTACTTGCATGGGGTAGTATCGTCTAACATTTTGGTATTGAAATCGTGGAGAAGATTGAATAGGGACATCAAGTTGGGGACAATAAACCGGTTGAGATGGATCGAATGCGAAAGTAATGGGTTATATATATATATATATATATATATATATATATATATATATATATATATATATATATTCGAGTTCTAGTCGTTACAATAAAAAGTCTTTTTTAATAATCGTTGAATGAGGGTTTTTTTTCCAAATAAGAAAAAAATGGACCAATGAGGTGAAGAAAGAGGAGGTGGGGTAGCATCCCCTTAGTCCGTTCCCGCACCACCTAGACAATGGTGGCGGTGTTGTGTTCCCGGCTGTGGTTCTATTCATGCACCTCCTAAAGCGCGAGATACCCTCCAGCCTAATTACTAATGATAAGTATGTAGCAATGAAACTACCAATAAATAACTCATAGTTAAAAAATACACTGTTACTTCAAGATATCCTAATCACTTAATAAAAAGTTCAAATAGATTATTACCCAAAAACTAGTTAAGTCAAAATTTAAATCATATATCATCCACAAATAAATATGTTAATTTAAACAATATAAATCTTAGTCTTTATATTTTAATAAAAAGTCATTTTTTTTTATCAGCCTAAAAACTTTCAAAATGAACCACCCAATATGACATTCAATCTCTAAAATTGTTGAAATTTGAATTTCAAATGATTATAATAATGATACATTCATAAAGAAAATCTCAATAAATTAGATATTATGATTTCTTTCAAAATAGCCTCTACGAAATCAAGTCGCCTGTCTCCTCCCATTTTGCTTATTTATTTTGGAAACATTTGATTCCCCTGTACATATTATAAGGAAGAGATTTGAATTCGACTTTGATAAATTTTGGTTTTTATATGGAGCATCCCACAAAATCAAGAATAATTCATCAAAAATATCAACATGAAATTAGTAATTTCAAATTTGATAGTCGAATCTTTCACTAAAATATTGATCTATAATATAAATATTATTTGTTTTGTTTATTTATTAGTTTTATTTATATACATAGATTTGAATTTTGTTGTTTATTCTTTTACACAAAGTCATTCAAGTCATTTAGTATGGATTATTTTTGTTATTTATGTTGTCAAGTCATATTTTACACTGGTATTAACATAGTCGGTTAATATAAAGGTTACTTCCTTTTATTTTAAGAGGAAAAAAAGACAAATCGGTTTAATTCCATAAATTATTTTCTAAAGCTTAAGTAAAAATTAAAAAAGATTATATTTCAGCCATAGTTTTATCTAAGTACATTGAAAAATCTCATAAGGCTCTTTTGCAGATTTCTAAAGATAGGTGTATACGAAAATCAGGTTTTTCACAGATGAAAAATTGTGAATCTCACACATTTGTGAAAATCCCCAACCCCTCTCCCCTTTTTTTCTTCTTTTTCTTCTTTTTTAAAAGCATGTATTATCATTTCAAATAGACTTCAAAAATCAAAGTATGTAGTGAAAAAAACTCATATAACATATTGAATAGTAATTTTAAAATATATCACGTTAAAAAATCATCATCTTTCTGTTGGATTAGTGTCTAAGCTGTAACTATATTTGGTAAGTACTTAACCCGGCTGTGCATGGTCCTTTTGGGTTGTCTTCACCGAAACAATATGATAGGATGATTTATTAAGAAAGAGGTTATTAAGATTTATTAATATGTTATATGAATAATATATTAATGGAGAAATCATATAATTAAATTAATATTAGTCAAGAATTAATAAGAAATTTTTGTGGCTAAAAGATATTAATTTAATAACAGGGACTTAAACTGTCAAATGTGTGATAATTGAGTATTGGGCTGAGAAGCCTCTTGGACTAGGCATGGACGAAATTAGGATGCATCCACACCTAATTTCGGCCCTAAAGCCCTATTCCAGAAGCTTCCTTGGATAGCTTAAGGCCTAAGATGTCCATTAGGGTTTTTGACTGAAACCCTAATAGCTCCAGTATAAAAGGACCCTAAGGTTCCAGAATTCGACCACCCTATTCCTAAGAGCTATAGAGTCGATTTCAAGAAGCCTCCAACCTATCTCCAAGATCATTCTTTTGATATTGGTGTTTGTAAGCCATTAGAGGAGTGACACTTGTGACTCTAAGCATCCAAGACAAGGAGATTCAAGCAAACAACAAGAGATAATGGTCTAGATCTGATTTGTTTCTTATAATTTCAATTTATTATCATTAGATCTAGGGTTAGAAAGTCTTGGATGAATGCATGTACAATTAGAGATACCTAGATCCAAGTATTAGGGTTTGCATGAGCACATAGGATGTTCTTTTGGCTCAAACCCATCAGTGGTATCCGAGCTTTGTTTGGTTTCTATTGTATTTGATGCCTTGTATGTTCATCATGTGAAAAATCGTTTTTTCTGCCTCTGCCCGACCTGACTCGGCGAGTCACTATTTGGACTTGGTGAGTCTATTTAGTGACTCGGCGAGTCGGAGCATCAAACAGAGGGTATTTCGGGATTATTTGTTGTTTTGCTTAAGGATACTTACCTAAATTGTTTTAGACTAATAAAATCCAAATTTATTACCTTTTTGTCAATATCCTTAACAAAACAATAGATAATTACCAATTATTTGAATAATAAATTCCTTATGTGATAATACTTGATTATTTGAATTTATTCGGTGAATTATCTTGTAAATAATCTTAATTAGGTCAAATTTAGATAATCATTAATTTAATTGTTTAATTTAAAATTATTTTCTATCTTATCCTTCGTGTTTTGAAAAGTTCAAAACTTGTCCTCAAGTTTTGAAATTTAAATTTTATGATTAAAATGTTTAATTTGAACTATTAATATTTCAAACCCTAGAATTTTACAAGTTTAAAATTCGACCTTATACTTTATAATATTATAAGATTAATATATATATATATATATATATATATATATATATATATATATATATATATATATATATAACTTAAAATGCTAGTGTTACCGTTAGTA